ATATACATATATAATACATTTTAATGATCTGTTCAAAATACAAAATGTGTCAATAAATGAGTGAAAGGGAAATTAAAAAAAAAAAGTCAGCTTCATTTCTTTTTAATCCTAAAAAGCTGCAATTTTATACTAATAGAAAAAAACATTAGAAAAAGTACAATATTACTAATGAGTTTGATGTACGGTATATAAAATGACATTAGTGCAGCAACATGTCTCTGTGATGTGCTTGGGCAAGACTCATCAGAGGAGGCTAAGAAGGGAGGTTTCTAACAAGGTTGAGTCATTTCCTCTGGACAGATCTTTCTTGTTGAAACATTTTGTTTTTCATCCAAAACTCAGTCTGAGAAGCTGCGATAAACTCAGTCAAAAGCAGCACCTTCTCCTAGTGGATCAGCCTTGTTGTTGACATCCAAAACTAGCTGTTCGTATGTAAAATGGAGTTCTTGTTCTAGTTCTGGATGTCACCAGCAAACTGGTTGATCCACTTTGACTGAGTTTGTTACAACTCCTTGCTGCCAGCAACAAAGACAGAAAGGTGGTTAGGTTTTCCTGTGTCGAGGGGGAAGGATGCGTGCCTCCTGTGGACATCCATCCATCCATTATCTTTTACCCACTTCTTCCATTTTGGGTCATGGGGTTCGCCAGTGCCCATGTCCAGCAGTCACTGTGTGAGGGGCGGGGTACACCCTGGACAGGTTGCAAGTCCATCACAGGGACACATAGAGACAAACGAGACAAACAACCATTCACTCTCTCACTCACACCTAGGGACAATTTAGAGTTACCAATCAGCCTAACATGCATGTTTTTGGTCTGTGGGAGGAAACCAGAGTACCCGGAGAAAACCCACGCATGCACGGAGAGAACGTGCAAACTCGACCCAGAAAGGCCCCCGGACCTGGATTTGAACCAGGGACCTGCTCACTGAGAGGCAGCAGCTCTACCAGTTGCGCCACCGTGCTGCCTCCTTTAGACATATTTATGATAAATTTGATGTCACAGGTACATTAATGCCTGTTTAATCTGACTGAATTACAACCATTGTTGATTAGCTGTTAATAGCGAGATTCAAATCATGTTTTACAGATTTACTGCTAAATGATTATCATTTGCAGCTGAAAGGTGGAGGTTTGTGGTAATGTTTTTACC